TTTGATGTTGATCGCGGTCTCTGCTGCGGCCCTGACGGGCTGCGGTCTCTCATTGTCAGAATGAAGAATTGTTGGCTTGAGGGGGAGTTGGAGGCGGTGGAGCTGAGTGCAGAGGTGGAGGAAGTAAAGAGTAAGCAGAAGAAGCGGCTCCTTGCTCTCAAACGAGGGTGGGCATTCATGGGGCGTCCGATCGGTTTGCGAGGGGTCTTGGATGAAACTGGCTGCCCATGCCCACCCGCTACCGATGCGGCCCAGGCGCTTGCCTCTCACTTGTCACGCGTTTTCGCTGCTACGCCATATGATGAAACCCATTCGCCCGCCATCTTAGAACGCGTTCAGAGGATTGACGTGCTACCTATTACCCCGTCCTGGAAGCCTGAGTGGGATAAATTTGAGAAGCAGGTCTAAAGGAAGAGATGCTCTGCCCCTGGTCCAGATGGCACCCCGTATGGCTGTTGGGCAGTCCCTGAAGCCGCAGTGATATTGTATGAGGCGTACGAGGAGATCGAAGTCAGTGCTCGTGCTGCTCTTCCCCCTGCCTGTCGGGTAAGTAGGATGGTCTTCTTGCCGAAGGGGGGGCGGGGGGGGGGGGTCCCGCGGATCAGGGCAACTTCGTTGCTCGCGCCCCCGGCTCTACCCGCCCTCTCTCCCTGTCCACCACGTATGCTGAGACGTTCTCCTCTGCATTCTGTCTGGGTCGGGTTGCCCCCTGCGCCGTTATGGTGGGGCAAAGGGGGGGGGGGGGGGGGGGTCAAAGGCAGGAATATCTGGGAGAACGTTGTGGAAGTCGAGCAGTGGGGGCTTCTGAAGCACATGTCTGGCTTTGATGAGATTTTTTTCTTCCTTACCTTGTTTTTTGGCGGACTTATCGGCTGCTTTCCCCTCCGTCTTATCAGCGTGGGTCTTCCCTTCCATCATATCAGCGTGGGTCTTTAAAGTGCTCCAGGCCAGGGGGGTCTCACTGGCTGTGGTTGGCTTCTTCATGTCTTTTTTGACTTCGAGGATGGAGCAGTGGTTACTATGCGGGGGCTGTTGAGATACGTTGCCCTGTTCGACGAGGCGTGGGACAGGGGGGCCCTGCTTCGATGATCCTATTCGCATTGGCGCTCGATCCAGTCTCGCATTGGATGTAACGCCTGCGCGCCCTTCGATTGGGCCTTGCGCTTGCCTATGCGATGGCTGTTGGTTTGGTCTCCAGAACGTACTGATCCGATGCCGATTCTACTTTTGTTTGATCTGCTGTCTGGGGCCATCGGCCTCTCCCTGAACACTGGCAAGTGTTATGTGCTCGTCTGTGGCTCTCCCTCTCTTTCTCTCTCTTCTCCCTCTCTCTCTCTCTCCCTCTCTCTCTCTTTTTTTATTTCTCTCTCTCCCCCCCCGTTCTCTCTCTCTCTCTCTCTCACGCTCTCTCTCCCTCTCTCTCTCTCTCTCTCTCTTCTCCTCTCTCTTCTCTCTCTCTGCTCTCTCTCTCTCTCTCTTCTCTTTCTCTCTCTCTCTCCCTCTCTCTCTCTCTCTCTCTCCTCTCTCTTTCTGTCTCTGTCTCTGTCTCTGTCTCTGTCTCTGTCTCTGTCTCTGTCTGTCTCTGTCTGTCTGTCTCTGTCTGTCTGTCTGTCTGTCTGTCTGTCTGTCTGTCTGTCTGGCTGGCTGGCTGGCTGGCTGGCTGGCTGGCTGGCTGGCTGGCTGGCTGGCTGGCTGGCTGGCTGGCTGGCTGGCTGCTGCTGGCTGGCTGGCTGGCTGTCTGGCTGGTCTGTCTGTCTGTCTGTCTGTCTGTCTGTCTGTCTGTCTGTCTGTCTGTCTGTCTGTCTGTCTGTCTGTCTGTCTGTGTCTGTCTGTCTGTCTGTCTGTGTCTGTCTGTCTGTCTGTGTCTGTCTGTCTGTCTGTCTGTCTGTCTGTCTGTCTGTCTGTCTGTCTGTCTGTCTGTCTGTCTCTCTCTCTCTCTCTCTCTCTCTCTCTCTCTCTCTCTCTCTCTCTCTCTCTCTCTCTCTCTCTCTCTCTCTCTCTCTCTCTCTCTCTCTCTCTCTCTCTCTCTCTCTCTCTCTCTCTCTCTCTCTCTCTCTCTCCCTTCTCTCATTCTCTCTTTCCCTTTCCGGTGAAGGTCTTGCTGGGCATGTGCGGACGAAGGGGGGTCGACTCCAAGAGGTGAACTTTGCCGCTCGCGTATTGTATATGGGTTGCTGGGTGAGATCGACTGCGCATGCTGCTGCCCGGAGGGAAGTTCCGAGAACAATCCGGCAACGAGTTCGGCAGCGTCGCTCGCTCTCGCTAGGGCTGCCCACTACCATTCATCTCTTTCGCTCGAACTGCCTGTCGGTGCTCCAGTATCGGTCGGCAGCAGCTTGTGAAGGTAACGCCCGAGGCCCTCAGACAGTATCGGGAGGCACTCCATATTCTGACGGCTGGCCCTCGACATGCCCTGAACCATTGTATGCCCGCGCAGTTGCGAGGGATGGGAATTTCTTTGGAATTCGTCGACCTCTCGCCTTTGGTTAAGGCGACCAAGGATCGAGTTATATCCGAGTGTCATGCGCTGGATAGTGTTCTGTATGACTTGGAGGCTCTTACTAACAGTGCACATAGCGACGGCTACATGCCCTATCGAAAGCGCTTTGGCTGGTGGAAGCACTCGATGATTCGGAATGCGAACGAAGACGCGGCCGATATCCTCTCGCCCAATTTTCGGCGGCTCGCGGGCAAATCCAGTGCGGAGTCCGTGGGCGCCTTCGAAGTCTCAGAGGCAATCGCGCCCCTCTGGTGCATCTGCAGGTCCGTGTCGGCCGATGGCTGGTAGAAGTTCAGATGCCTACCCTGGTCGCTCTCCATGCACGGCTTCGGGCTCTAGCAAAGGCGACGTGCGCCCGCCTCTCCGCGGGTGTCATTCGCATTTCATTTCGGGGTGTTTGCACTTCGGCAAGGTTTCGTTGCGGGGATAGAGGGGGCTGTTTTCGATGCGGGGGCCCCGACGACATGCCCCGCTATAAACAATCTCAGCCTTTGGTCGCTGGCTATCACGTGGACCCTAGGCGTTTCGAGTCTGCCAGGGCGGCGGAAGGACATCTTGTAGAACGATGACCAGTGGTTTTTGATGTCGGCCCTTCTGGGCCCGAAGTGGGGGCTGGATCGTGGTGTCGCTGCGGGGGCTATCCTGGGTGCATTTCTGAAGACGCACTCCCGCCGCCGTTTGGGCGCTGCTCTTCCACCTGAACAGGTCTTCCATGCTCGTCTGAGGCTACTGGCCAGGAATAAGAAAGTGTCCCGGGTTTTTTTGGGGGGGCGCCAATGACTGTGTCCTCCGTTCCTCGGGGTCCTGAACAGTTTGTCTGTCCTTTTTGCTTCTGCTGTTCTGGGTCTTCCGCGAGTTCGGTTCTGGCCCCCGGTCTTGTCTCCCCTCTCGCCATGGTCGTGTTGTGCCTGGCCGTGCCGTGGCCCGCGTGCGGGGATCCTCCCTCTCCGATTCTCCAGCGTGGAGCGAGTGGAGCACCCGCGCTGTGTGCACCCTGTTCCCTGGTACAGTCGACGCCGTGATGCTTATCGCCCTCGGAGTGCTGATTCGGCAACGCGGCCCCTCTCGAGGCTTGTGGCCAGGCACCTGTGGTCGCGCCCCCTGCCCTCGGCGGTCGCTCTTCTGGCTTCGCCTGCCATTGGGTCTTGCCTCCTTCCTCTTTTTCCGCGCGGGTTGACTCTTTGCATCCTTGCCCCGTTGGTGGGCGCCGTGGAGCCCGCGTTTTGTTTTCTTTTCCAGTGTCATGTGTCGCGCCGAGTATGCATTGTGTCCCAATGTGTATTGGGCCATCGGGCTGCTGAATCACGGGAGATTTGTGGGATTGTTCCCTATGTTTGCGTCTCTCTCCGTCCCTGCTCCTGCTGCTGCCTCTCTCGCCTGCGGGGTGGGTGGGAAGGCTTGGGGTGAGCGACGGCGCGAGCCGCGCGTGCTGCCGCCCCCGCCGCCCCGCCGCCCCGCCGTGGCCCCCGCCGCCGTGCTTGCTTTCTCGGGGTGATGAGGTGCCCCTTGCTCGCTCTCTAGAGGAGTCGGCCCGTTCGTTTTCGCCCGTCCACGTGCCTGGTGTTGTGGGTCCCAGTCTCAGTTGGGCGCAGGCGGATGCGACTGGCTCCTGCGCCTTGTGGGACATGGACCCCGCTTGTCGGGCGACTGCAGTCCTCCCACTGAGACGAGTGCGCCCCCTCCCCTCGGTCGTGGCCTCCTGCCGCCTCCTTGGGGGGGGGGGCCTCGCCGTGCTGCCCCGCCCGCGCGCCAGGTGCCTCAGTGGGTACCGCGTGGCGGACAACCCCTTTGCCTCTTCCTCCTCCTCCTCCTCCTCCTCCTCCTCCTCCTCCTATGCTGCTTCCTCCGCCTGTTTGTTTCCATTGGGCGCGTGCCCGCCTGGCGGCGCGCCTTGACAGGGATTGCGGATGATGGGACGTGCTGCGTGCGCCGCGGGGAGAAAAGCAACAACTTCTCCTCCCCCTCCTCCTCCTCCTCTTCCTCCTTCTCCTCTGGTAAGTTGCACGTTGGCCAGCTTCGTTGTGTTAGGAGGGTCAGCGGCTCTCGGGCTCCTGGACGAGGGTTTTCTTATCGCTTTCAGCGTTTTAGGGGGGCCCAGAGGTTGAAGGGGTCCTAAGAAGAGGTTTGGTGCCAAGTAGAACCCTTTAAAGGACCACGCCTATGGGCCCGTATCAACATGACTATACATGTCGCCTCTTGTAGCGGTTCAGGACTCGATGTTTCAAACCAGGTAGGCAAATGTGTTGATTGTGGAGGTTAGGGATTCGAACTCTCAATGGTACAAGTCTTGGGCTCAAACACGGATGTTGTAGGAATGTTTGGGGATTTTCGGGGCAGCCATCGTCCATGTCCTCTTCCTACTTCTCTTCCCCCTCTGGTCCCACTTCGCCGCCGCGCCCATGCCGGCATCCATCCTCAGAGCCTGTTTGGGCTCGCAGATTTGCTGTGGGAGGGCAGCGAACCGATTTATAGGGCCGCTTCGGCCCCTTCATGTCCAAGGATGTTGGTTGGTTGCATCTACCTCATCCTAACGCTGTTTGAGTTCGTCGCCAGCGCCAGATTGTCGACGAGCCGTTCCATGAACGCCAACGTCGAAGTCGGCATGTGGCTTTTGGCGTGGCCAGACGTCGTCAGAGTGCCCATCGGCAGAGACGATGGCCAAGGCGGCACCAAGCGAGTCATAATTCAACCAAACAGTTTGGCACTGACGGCGACGCTGCGCACGATCTTGTCAGATTACGAAGCGACGGAGTACGTGGAGCCAACGGCCGACAAGGTCGAAGTCAAAGGTGTGATGCGCGTCAAAGCTAAATTCATATGGGATGCTATGAGAAAGTTGAACAGGTTCGAAGAAGAACAGAGGAAGTTCTGGGCGATCCTATCGGAAGGCGAATGCAATGTTGGACACCTGCGCTACTTCGGAGTAAAGAACTTCATCACCTTTGGGGATGACGAGCCCATCTGGATCGACGAGACCTTCGAACAGGTGAAGACCAAGGGCTTCTTCAAGCTTCTACCGGGTGCGAAAGTCGAACACATGATCGATCTCCTTGAAACGCAGCATGGTGGACGTGTACCAGATTGGGTTTCACGCGCAGGGACCTCCACAGACGGCTTGCCAACTCTCGCAGTGCATTTACCGAGGAGTTGGGCGAATATGATACATCGCCAAGTTCGTTGTCACCAAGAGTCGTCGTTCAGCCTGTGCGACCTGAACCTGTTAGGGCCGACGCAGATAAGATGGGCGAGTGTGTGGCCTAAATCGCGACCTGGAGATCGAGCACAACCGCTGACTATGTTGAAAGATTCATTTCTGCCTCAACGATTCGCCAAGCCCTCTGAAGAGTTCTTGGATATGTACAAGACCTTGAATGCCGGCGCAGCCTACGAGATCGCGAACAATTTCAAGGTGCCCTTGGACCTCTGGTATGACGGTATCAATGTTTTGGGCCAAGGGAGTATGAGCCACGCGATCCGAGCCCACATGCATTTGGCTTTGCTGATCCACCATGGTGACAAGATGCTGTGCCACAAGGCAGCAAGAGAAGGAAACGGGGCGAGGTCCAAGTACGACGCGATTGAGATCGTGAACATGTTCAACGCGTCCCAGTTTCTGAAGAACGATGCTCATCTGAAGAGGGCTTGCTTTTGGGCAATTCGTTCAGTGCTCCCGCCTGAGCTTGCTCACGAGTACTGCGTTTCGCTCGAGATGGAGTCTGTCACGGGGCGGTTTCCACATAAGTCGACTCTGTCGCGGATGAGGGGAAGAGTCGACGTGGCCTGGATGCTCACAGCGCGGGATCTATTCCAGAACATGCTTGACGTGGACGGCATCGTCGTGTTCCCGATCCCAGACTCAAGCCCCCAAGGAGGCAGGGACTACGAGAACGCAGTTCTGACCATCATCAGCCGCCAGAACCTCGTTGCATTGCGCGGGCTTTCAAGCGACCTGGATCGCCGCAACAACACCATGACTGTAGAGCAGCGCGCCGCCGACTGGACCTCCGAAGCTCTCATCGTGAAGAAGATCGAGGAGAAGATCATGAGGCACGTCGCCCCAGCAGTGCAGCTGGGCTTTGGGCGGACGAATCTTTCGGCGAAGTTCCACGCGATCATGCACCAGTTGTTCTTGCTCAGCCCCTCCGTCGACCACTTCTGCAAACTTGTCGGCTCTGTCCCCGTCTGGCTGTCGGATCAGGGCACGGAAAGCGGCTTGGCGCGCATCGAGCCCATCGCCGTGCAGGACGTGCTGGAGTTCACGAGGGGGTGCGAGGTGAACGACGGCGAGGTGCCGCCGACCTTGATCCGAACTAGCTTGAAGCCCGAAATCAGTGTTCCAGGAAGTTCCAGGGGTCTCGGTCCTGGGTCCTGGGTCAGGGGTCGGGGAATGGGCTTCGGGCAGTAGTTGGGGCCGACAGTCGGCGGAAGGTTGACTTCGCTCAGCCTGCAGCAGCGCCGAGCAGGGATTTTATCAAATTGACTTGGAGCCTGGAGTTCGACGGGGCGTTGCACCTGTGCCGCAACGCGGGCAATCACCTGGAGGACGTGATGCCAGACTACAAAGACGCTGTCTGGAGGCTCAGCAAGGTGTCGAAGCTTCTGGACGATCCTGAATCGAAAGAACGGTTGGATGCGACATGCTTCTCATCTTCGCCAGCACTGAAAGCTTTAGTCGAGCCCATCAAGAAATTCAAAGGACATTGTCATGTCGAACGATGGGGCACAGTTGCCAACGCTCTGCTGAATATTACTGGTAACGTCGAGGCAGCCTTGCGGTATGCGTGGGATGCTCCCAAGTACACTCATGGCAAAAAGAAAGGTAGAGAGGAACTGTTTAACGTCAAGTTGGGAGTTCTGGATGATACAATCAACGCGCCATACTGGTGGGCCTACTGGGGTATGCTTGAGAAGATCGCACAGGCGCTGTTCGATGTTATCAGGTGGTGTGACTCGTGCTCTTGTCATTCCGACTTGCTCGAAAGCCTTCGAGGCCAAGAGTGTGCATCCAACCTTGCAGAGGAACAGATCAAGACCATGAAAGAACATGCTTCAAAATGCCCACTGAGAGGCATGCGATGCCACGACGTGTGCGCGGGTATGCTGCTCGACTACGTGAAGGACCGTCTGCGCTACCACATCGCAGACTTCGCCAGCAACATCCCATCGGACGTTTCGAGGGGAGACGCGAAGCGCATCCTCGATCAGATGGAGAGCGGCAGGACCCATATTGTCGCATATTACACGATCAAACTGGCACACTGCGATTCGTCTGCATACGGCCCCATTGGAATGGCATGCGGCAGCCATCAGAGGGCACGGGAATGTTGGCTCAAAGTTCTAGGCGATTCTGACTGTCATCCTGTTGCTGATCATCTCGCGATTCACCCGACACTCAGAACGGAAGTGGACGAGTGGGTAGACGTGGGATTCGATCCAGAAAGCGATCCAACAGACGACAAGCCCGGGCTTCGTCTTTGCTTGGCGACTCTGCGTTTTGCGAACAGCGCAGAGAGAGTGGTTGAGGGTGCCCATGCTCTGATACATCATGAAGTTTCGCGGGCCCGCAATCACGGACATGCTTTGGTCAGCTTGGCTAACAGGATGTCCAACCTAAGCCCGTGCATGACCGCAAGCGTGGACACGTTCTGGCGCTTTACTCAAATGGTTGCTAAGGTATCTTCTGGCAAGGCCGCTGTGAAGCTATTGGGACTCGAGCGCCATCCAGAGGCAAAGCAGCTGGAGACGATGCATTCCTCAGACAAGCTGTTCTGGGATGTGATCTACCGCGCAGACCCCTACACCAAGTACAGGATGCCATTGCCTAAGATCAAGGTTAAGCAAGTCGAGGCTGTTGAGCTGAATGGCAAGGCCCCTCCGATCGATACGGCTGATGCCGCGTGCAAGCGGGCCGCTTTCGTGAGCCACGTGATCGAGAAGCTGTCTGCAGATGGCACAATGTATTGCATGCCCATGCAGCTCACCGCGCTCATGCCCTTGAGGAAACTTCTCCAAGTACGACGTGCAGTACCTGAGACATCAGACGATTGTGAGCACGGTTGGGGTCTCTCTGAAGTTTGCCAGGATGATCTCATTCCTGATGATGCCTTCGCTGAGCAGGACTGTGAGTTTGCAGAGTACTTCTTCTTCAAGGTGGTAATGGCGGACATTACTCGCATTCCAAGGCCGAAGGTACCAGGCCAACCAAAGCTCACTGGCGTCAAAACGTTGGTCTTACACAAGCTATTACGGTATGACGAAGAGGCTCGAGAATGCTTGGTGAGCGCAAATGCTCTTGGAAATGCTATCGACGACTGTGCTACACCATACACCATGCACCCAGCCATGCTGCCACCAGAGATCTTATCGAAGGTACGTAAGTGGAGCCCTACCAGCACTGGCATAACAGCAGGTCTCCGCCAGCCTTTCAAGGCGCATATTCCGAGAGAGCAACTGGATTGCCTTGATGAGGTTGTCAGGGGCATCTTGAGGTACCCGGACGGTGCGCCGCGCGACGCCATCGTGCCGACGCACTCCCTCAACCCACACATCGAGAAGCTCGTCGACGCGTTCTTCGAGCTAGGCTTCTTGGACGGCCCGCCATATAAGTTCACGATCCAAGGGGAGGCAGCTTTGGAGATCGGCATATCGCTGGGGAGACCCACGTACCTGCTTCAGCGCTTCGATGCGTTCGTCGGCGGAGACATCAACAAGGCGACCTTGGCAGAGTTGATCCTGGGGATGGAGCATGACGGCTGGCTGCGCGCCGACCTGTCGACTTCGAGGAATGCGTTGAGCGAGAAACGTGCCTGGCCAATGATCGGTACTGATGGGGTGCTGTCCAGGGGGGAAGCTCAGGGGCCCGGGGGCCCAAGGGTCTAGGAGGGAGTTTGGAGTCCAGGACTGTCAGCGAGATTCGGGGGTCCAGGGCGCGGTCCAGGAGTCCAGGGTCCAGGGTCCACTGATGGGGGACGTGGCAAGAAGGGGTTCAGAGCCAGGACATGTTTCAGCCCAACCCCAGGGGGAAAAGGGCAGCCATTGCCAACCCTTTCAGAGCTTTGGCAGACAAGAAATGGTATTCGTTCAAGGCGCACTCGGTCAGCAGGTACTACTTGATGGCGCTGCTGATAGCCAACGAGCCGATGGCAGGCACCCACATCCACGAGGTACCGCATGTCGGGACCAACGCGACGTACATGGAGATCTTGGGCTTGCAGCCGCCGCCTGGCAATGCGCCAGCGGCCATTATAGGCGACGTGGATTGGCCAGAGGACAGCCTGCCAGCTCTCAAAAAGGCGAAGACTTCGAAGGGCGTTTACCTTGGCGGAGGTGGTCGGAAGCTGAAGCCCTCGGCGGGCGCAGATGACGGTGTGGTCGTCGGGTCCGACGACGTCGACGACGGCAAGGGCCACTTGGTGGAGACGGACGTGGAGGAATCAGAGTCCGAGTCGAGCTCTTCTTCTTCGACTTCGACTTCGTCTTCTTCAATCTCGTCGTCTACTACGTCGGATTCGGAATCAGATGGGTCGCCTGGAGGCGACGACGGCGGCGCCACGGACGACGACGCGGGCGACTTCGCATGCCGTGAGGACGAGCACGGGAACAAGTACTATCGGCACATCAGCTTGTACAAGTACTGGAACAAGGTGACAGGCAACCACAACGGGTGGAACGCATACTGCGCCAGGTGCGGCCACTCGGTTGGCAGGGCCAAGTGCACCAAGTCGCATACGGTGAATGGCGACGGAGGTGACGAGGGTGCGCAGCGCCGTCTCCTTTACTGGGGGAGCCTCGGCCACACGGTCGACTGCAAGGCGGACCACAAGGAGCTGTGGAGCACCGTGGTGACGGCCTGGGACAACGACGAGATCTCTGATCTGGCCGTCCTGGAGGTCGAGGCTTGCAAGACGGACTAGCAGGTGACATGCAGCAGAAAACAATACACCCTATCACCCCTTCCCCTCGCCCTCTCGCCCTCTTCCTCTCTTCTCGCACATGCACGTCCTATCCCCACTTCCCTCTTCCCCTCGCCCTCTCGCCCTCTTCCTCCCTTCTTGCCATCCACCTCGGCGCACTTCCCCCCGAGCCTCCAGCCGCTCCCAGGTGGCCAAGCTCTCGCCCCCACCGCTGGCTGGAGCCCGGAGTCCGCCAGGGCTGCTGGAGGACAGCGCGGCCCGCCAAGAGGATGAGGGAGACCAGGGAGGAGGGCGAGGGAGGTGACGAGGGAGCGACCGCTAGCTAGCGACAGTTGCGAGGAGGAGGATGACGTGTGAGGGATGAGAGCGAGGACTGCATTCGTTTGCAAGGTCGCGAAAGTGCGAGTGAGGGCGAGTGGGATGAGGGCGAGGAGCAAGATAGATGACCAGGGCAGGTCCTGGAGTCATCTTGCTGGTGCTTTTCAAGGCCTGAAGGCCCCCTCCTTTCGGAACCTCTCGGACTCCTTTCAGGTTTCAGGGCTAGGGCCTAATGCCCAATAATGCCCAACCCATAGAAGCCTAGACGACCCCCCTACGGATCCCAACGGATCCTGGTACCACCAGTTGGAGCCAGATTGGAGCCATCATGGTTGGGAACCTCTTGTAGTTTTTTTTCGGGCCTCTCCAGTCCTCTTGGGCCTTCAACCCCTCGGCCGTCCTGGGGGTGGGGGGAGAGGGCGCCCCCGCCAGGACCTCGGCCAGCTGATCAACCAGCTGGTGCTCAACTGAGAGCAGCTGGCCGTCGACGAAGTATGACCGCCGCCGCTGCTCTCTTCTCCCCTTCACGACGTCAGACCCGTCAGACGCCCTCGCACGCCCTGCGAGATCTGAAACGAAGGGGCAAGGGCAGGCCATGCGCTGTCATGCGCAGTTAGTGTGTGATATGCAGCAAAACAGCGAAACTATGTCGGAATAGCTGCACACCGTGGAAAACAGCTAAAGTGATAGAAATCCTAAAAATGGCGACCCCCCCAACTCGGGGGACTCGGGGGAAACACGGGGACTCGGGGGAATAACGTTTCCCGGCTGGCAATGCCATTTTGGGCCCTCCAGGGCCTCCAAATCCATCGGAAATGAACTCTAACTGAGCACGATTAGGGCTTATAAATGAAAACGTTTATCAGATCTGATTGAAAACCTAGCCCAAAACGCCAAAGTCTCCCGGGCAACGTTGTCCCCCGAGTTTACAACTCGGGGAAACTCGGGGAAACTCGGGGAAACTCGGGGAAACTCGGGGAATTGCTCAAAATGACAAAAACCCTTATTTCTGACAAAAACACGACAATACGCAATGATACCAGACACATCGCAGCTGACACGGCCTGTGTTGGGCGTGCCGCAGAACTCGGGGACTTTGGGAACACTGGAGGGGTTCGGCGCTGAAACGATGACGATGTGGCAGGAGACGACGATGTGGGGGGTGGTAGCGTGGGGGAGGGAGATGACGGGATGAGGCAGGGCACTGGATATGGTAAGAAGGGACGAGGAAGACGACGTGGAGGAGGAGGAGAGAGAAAATGGAGGAGGTGGTCCTTGGAAACTGTCACACCAACCCACAGTTTCGCTGCGGGAGCGGAAGGGCCTGTATTGATGTGACCTTGTTCATTCCGCCATCCCCAGGCCCCAAAGCTTCCGTCCTCCTAATCCGAGGCCTCCGCCTGTGCCGTCCCCCACTCAGTACTCCTCCATTGCTAGTTGGGCTCGAGCGGCGGCCTACGGCCTAAGGCCACCCTGCCGCGCTTCGTGCCCATTGGACCTTCGCTGCGGTGCTGAGGCGATGATCCCGCGATGTCAGGGAGACCACAGAAGAGAAGGGCCAACGCCAGCGCATCGATATGCGACGACGACTTCGCCTCGTGTGCCAAGCAGCCGTTCTACCACACTCGCAGGTTCAAGGTAGGACGCCCTGGCCCAGCGACCATTGAGGAGTTTGCTCGCTGGCCTGAACGTCCCTGGATGCTCATGGCAGACCTGCGCGGAGGTGCCGCTTTTGCTGACCATCTGCGCGCGCTGCTTGGACATGGCGCCATCAACACTGGCGACTATTCTGGATGCGAGATGCCGCGGGAGCTGTGTGAGCAACTATTTGCAGGGTTGCGTTACGCCTTCCCAGACGAGCCTTCGATCCATCACCTGACTTTCGAGTTCAAGAGGTCGTGCGACAATGGTAAGCTACCTCAAAGGGCACTGCTGTGGACCGCTGCCCATCTTCATGGAGGGGTCTCCTGCGTATTTGGCGACATCGAGGACACGATGCCAGCCGTGGCCAGGGCATACTTAGACATGATGATGCCCACCATCGACAAAGGCTCGGACGTGGCGGACGCGAGGCTGTGCGCCGCGAAGTGCTACAAGGACATGCTCAGTTGGCTGCTGTCGAGCAGGGGCTGGCTCTGGCCGAAAGGATCTACGACAAGTTGCCTGTGCCATCGCCGACCCTGCCCAACGAACCTGTCGATGGAGGCCGACAGCGACCAACGGAAATTACGGGTGAACTGGGCAGGCAACACGTGCGTGGGTTGGAGCCCTGTTTCTGAAAGTACTTTAAAGGAGTTCTCCCACCCATCGGAACGTGTTAACAACGTGTGGATTGCCCAGAAGGTCAGATTCGCAGAGCTTGGCGAGGAGGACTGCTTCTTCCAGGAGTGTTCCCATCGGTATCCAGTCCAGGAAAAGCTCGCCAGTCCGATGCAGGAGTGGATCAAAGTCAGTTGGGTACAATGGGGGCCTCTTCAACAAGGTGAGCCGCACCACCGTCCAAGGGTATTCTCATTTGGGTGCTGTCGCCAGCGGTTGAAGTGGATCGGCCCAGAGAGCCACGAGGAGGTTCAGAAGGAGTTCGAGAGCATTTTCGGGGCCAGAGTCGTCGGCAGCGGCTCGATGTACATGGGCGCCAACCTTGACTACTTGAAGAAGGTCACAGCGAAGAACTTGGCGATGCGACACATTCACATTGACGACCTGAACGCAGTACCTATCAGCGGTGATGAAGTATTCGAGTCACTGTGTCCTGGTAACCGACAGCGGTATGCGGCTTATGATGCGATCAAGCCTGGTGACTCAGACAATCAATTCCTTGCGGACCTGGACCACTGGCCGAGCACGCGGTCTTCTCACGGCAGGGGGTTCCCATGCCAGCTCAAGCATGGCTGCGTCTGGTCATGGGAGTTGCAACGTGCTGCGATTGGTCTGGAACATCTTGCAGCCCAGGGGCTCCATGTTCTTGGTGGAATGCAATCTCGTTACCGCAGCCGCATGCAGCCATTCTTCGAGAACCTGGATGAGGCGTGCATCAAACAGTTGTCAGGCAATGGGATGTGCATCTCTGCGCTAGCTGCATGGGTGGTTTATTGCTTCAGCAACGTGGTGAGGATCGAGGGCGCCAAACTCTTCGAAGAGAACGCGCTAGCCGCAGCCGCCGCCTCGACACCCGAGGGGGCCCAGACCGCAGTGCCCGCAGCTCAGCGGTCCTCAGACATTGCTAGCGAAGAGGATCGAGATGACGTTTAGCGCCAGAGAAAAAATACAAAACATAATGGCCCTAGACACCCACACACTTGTTCGAAGCTCAGAGCTCGATCAGACCTGCGATGCGATTCCCCGGTGCTGCCAGCTGCCAGATAGATCGACCTTCAGGGACGGGGAGTACAGAGATCCTGCCTCCTGCGGCTCGTCGTCCCAGGAATCCCCCCCTTCCTCCTCCCCTCTCCCCCTGCAACTAAACTCACAGAGCCGCAGCTCGCAGCTTGAGATTTCTCTCCGTGGTGACTTCACTCGTCGTCACGACAGCACTCGCGACCAATCCAGGTGCAAACATTTGGGCTCAAACTCGCTTTGCATTTCGACCCCGCGAGCCCACGAGTATCGAACCGACATCTGCAGTGCCAACAGCTAGCAGCATGGACCGTGGGTACGATCAGACGTACAAGCAGCAGGTCGGAACTGACCAATTCCGCCTCCAGACATCGCAGAAAATTCTGCGGTCCACCACGGACGTGTTCTACGACGTATCGGATCGAGTTGAGGACGGGCTCGCGCAGTTGAGGAAGCTCCAGGCCGCGCTCAAGATGTCCATTGTTCGTTGCGAGGCCCAGGCTTGTGCCAGGACGGATCATCAGCTGGCGCAGAGCACCAACGCGATGGCGATGAAATGCCAGCTCGAGGACATCGGCAAGGTGATCACGCACCTGATGTACGCCACCGCACTCATGGACGACGGCAACCCCTCGATCGTCGGGCCTTTCGGCATGGAGCGTGACTTCTCGCTGCCGCAGGAGGACGAGCATGACTTCACTAAGCGTAAGTCACCACCACCGCCTGCGCTTCACTGGTGGGACAAAGATGACGAGAAGACGTGGGTCCCGTACGGCTGGCAGATCAAGGACAGTAAGGGCTGGATCGACTATACGACAGCGGCGACCAAGCCACAGCACGGGCTTGAGCCGACCATCCCATGGGACCAGAAGAACCCAGAGAGCTGGGTCCCCTACGGCTGGAAGGTGAGGGACTAATCCAAGTGGAAAGACTTCTCTTCCCAGCGATCCGCGGATGAGTTCTGCCTCGTGGAGTCTCCAGTGGCTTCGCCGAACAGCACCCTCGAGGCGGACTGAGCTCCACGAGCAGCAGTGCAGCACCCTCACGCGACGATGACCGTCGACCATGCAGTGATCGCGAGGGGCAGTGCACTCGCAATCTGTAAACTTTGAGCCACGCGTGGCTCACGAGGCTCCAGATTTTTGGTGGGCCTCCCGCAATCTGCAAAACAATATCGGTTGAGACAACATTCGCCTGTTGCCCCATCGAAAGCTCAGACTTGTGATTATGTCTTGACTCCTGTGAGACCCCCTCCTGGTTCCAGGTCCCCGCCTAAGTCACCCAGGCCCCACGCAGCTAGAGCCTGACGAGGGCAGGGGATGAGCCTCGGATGAGCCTCGATGAGC